TCATAACCGCAACTCTCAAAACCCTAGGACTACATTGCGAATGTTGATTAAGTTAGAAGGAACAAACCTATATTTATAGAGTCCTAAACTTTTTCCTACGAGAAAAGGACTAGTCAAATATCAAAACTTTTTTGTAAAAGAAAAACCTATATATGGTAAGAAAATCAGGGCAAATAAAATCCAACATATTTATCAGTCAAAGGGAATTTGATTCCTCTCCATAACACCTTTTCTCAATTTTCTAAGTGACACTTGTCATATTAAAATCTAGATTAAATTAATTTATCAATCCTCTTAATCATAGTTAAAGACTAAGTTAGGTAAAATACACACCAATATTGCTAAGAAAAATCTCAATCTTCAACAAATTTTGACTGCTCATTAATATTATCAGTTTAGGTATACTTTCTAAATTACTTTATTCTATGATATTATTTTCTTAATACCGGTAAAAGTAGATTTTATTGAAATTTACTCCCTCTGTCCTTAATTACTTGTCTATTTTTTTTTTTTTAGTTGTCCCTAATTATTTGTCCATTTTTGACAAATCAAGAAAGGACAAAAAAAATTACATGTTATACCCTCTATTAATTAATTTGAAAAAAGTAGAACTTTTTGAAAATCTTAAGTTTTTAATTCATTCACTTCATAACTAATATGGGTAAAATGGTAAACTCATTATGTCAATAATTTTTTTCTTAATAGATGTGTCAATTCAAAAGTGGACAAGTAATTAGGAACAGAGGGAGTGTTGAATTAGGAGTTATGATTATCAAAAGTCATAAGAGTTATGGAAATAAAGACAATTAAGTTTTTATATTAAAGAATATGAATAAATAGAGTAATAATTGACACATTCATTTTTGTATAGTAATAAAATAGAAATATTGTCAACAAAAAAAGAAGAAAAAAATGGAATTCTTGGTCAAAGAAAAGTGTCGCATCACTTTTCTTTGATCTAGCTTTATATGGAGTATATAAATATAGATATTGATAGATATAGATTTGTTTCTTTATAATTTTTATTTTTGATTTCTAGCTTTATCTGTTAGTTTATTTATCTAAATTAGTTGGAATGAAATATGGACAGCTGAAAGTAAGAAGCACAAACTCAATTATTCCACCATTAAATCTTTAAATCTTTCTTGATTCATATATAGTACGCCAAATGTGTCAAACTTCTTCTATTAGTTTTTTTCTTTATATGAAAAGCTCACTTTTTAAAATAAAACTATAACATATTATTGATAAAATAAAAATTAAAATGGGACTTTTCGCATTTGGAAGCCTAAGGCACGTGCCTTTTTTTTTTTTTCAAACTTATTAGTGTCTTCCCTGCTTCAAATCCAATTTAAATCTCCACCAAAACGATTTCAAATTTTGTATATAACCTCCTTATACTATTTTCAACGAGTCTAAACAATACTCACTCCTTAGACGTCTCGAATCTTCATGCCTCATAGGCTCAAACATATCAAGCAACATTGAGTTTTTACTTTAAAAAAAAAGCATTTTGAAACTTTTCAAAACAGTGTTTAGAAGGCTGAATTTTGAATAAGTCTGCAAGGTAAGCTGAAAACTTGGTTCATCAAATATTACATCTCAATTTTCTATTTATACTTTTTCTATACATTTTATTTGTCATATTTGGATTTGACATGTCAATTAAAAAAATAATGATTGACATGACTATGTTACTACACTTGCTCTCTCTCCCATTTTTATTTTTTTTTCCTCTTTGTTGTGTTTATTTGATTTGGGCACTAGGCCCAAATGAGTATTGTAACTCTTATTTACATTCATCAGTAAAAATGCTTGGCCAGATTTCGATCTAAAAAAAAAAAAAGAGGGTGTAATTGCCTATTTCAAAAGTTTTAGTTTTTTCTTGTTTATAGTTTTTCTCATTTAATTTTTGCAATAGAATTTTGAATAGTGTAAAACTCATTATGGTTAGATAATCGTATATTTATTTACGTACCAAAAAATTCGTAAATCAACTCAAAATGGATCGAACTGGATGAATGTATGCCCAAATTCGATGTCCATCACTAAGTTTATATTAAATGTAGTGCCACCCGCAATTCTCAAATTCTGGATTAGCCTCTGCAAGTGACTTAAACTTGCATAAAATTGAACAAATAATGCATGTGTCCTATGTGGAGTCCCTACACATACATCATATTTGCTAATTTGACAAATTTGATTTTACCATTGCTGAATATAACAATGTCATTATCAACATAGCTTAAATTGTTACTCTGAGGCACCTTTGTTGTTTATGAAAAAGGAAACGAACTTCTCATTAGCTATAATATCTTTTCTAACACCGTCAATCTCCAACTCTGCTAAAATCAACGCTTTCAGATTCATAAATGAAATTGATTCTCCAACGACAATTCCATCAACCTTGTAACCTTCGTAATTAACATCGCTTACCCAAATTCCAGAATGCCATAACAAAATTGTGATATTCATCATCTAAAGCTGTTTTTTTCAAGTTCTTAGAATGTAGATCCACTTTACCACAATAAATTTGGTTAGTTGAAGGAGCTCTAATTTGAAATTTGAATTTATCAATCAGTTACGTAATGGAATTGAAGGTTTACAATCTGTTAGGCGTGAATTATGGGATTTATAGTTATTAAATCAAATCTACGTTATTATTTCCTTCTGAAACGCAACAACTATTATCTGGAATGTATCAAACCTTATATATCCCGTCCACAACGCTATGTATCCCGCAAACAACATTTTTAGGGGATTTTTGGTAAATAGAAAACTAGAAGGAATAGGATGTTATTTAGTACTTATAATATGTGGTTCCTATAATTTATAGATTTCAAGTATACTTCATTATTCACTTATATAATAAAAGAAAATTGTGTGCCATCCAGTGATTGATGCGATTTTTCTTTTCATTTTATCAATCACATAGAAAGCAAAGCATTGCCTCAAATCAAGTGGACGGTGATGATAACATATTGAGGGCTCGTTTGGTATGAGGGATAATACCAAATAGTCCCGGGATTAAATTATAGTACTGCTTATTTTGTTGTTTGGTTGGCAAGTTCGGGATAACTTATCCCAGGATTAATAATTAGTACCGGGATAAGTTATCCCTCTCCTTGGGTGGTATAGTAATCCCGAGATAACTTATCCCGGGATAAAATAGGTAAATGATAAAAATGTCTCTTTCAACCCTTTTGTTATATCACTTTTTACATTAATGAAGGGCATTTTTGTAAACAAATAAATTGTTCTTAAAATTTATTATTTTGAATACAACAAACCAAACACTCAATAAAAAATAATTCCAACACAACTTATCCCATCATAACTAATCCCAACATAACTTATCCCAACATAACTTATCCCATCATAACTCATTTTCAAACCAAACGACCCCTGAGTCTCAAAACACACAATATTTCTAGTTGTCAACTTTGTGCTTCCTTTCCCATTCCTTTGAGTAAATGCTTTTGAAAAATGAAACAAAAATTCCTTTAAATCTTTCTTGATTCATATATAGTACGCCAAATGTGTCAAACTTCTTCTATTAATTTTTTCCTTTATATGAAAAGCTCACTTTTTAAAAATAAAACTATAGTATATTATTGATAAAATTAAAATGGGACTTTTCACATTTGGAAGCCAAAGGCACGTGCCTTTTTTTTTTTTCAAACTTATTAGCATCGTCCCTGCTTCAAATCGAATCCAATTTAAATCTCCACCAAAACGATTTCAAATTTGTATATACCCTCCTTATACTATTTTCAACGAGTCGAAACAATACTCACTCCTTAGACGTCTCGAATCTTCATGCCTCATAGGCTCAAACATATCAAGCAACATTGAGTTTTTACTTAAAAAAAAGCATTTTGAAAACTTTTCAAAACAGTGTTTAGAAGGCTGAATTTTGAATAAGTCTGCAAGGTAAGTTGAAAACTTGGTTCATCAAATATTACATCTCAATTTTCTATTTATACTTTTTCTATACATTTTATTTGTCATATTTGAATTTGACATGTCAATTAAAAAAATAATGATTGACATGACTATGCTACTACACTTGTGCTCTCTCCCATTTTTTATTTTTTTTCTCTTTGTTGTGTTTATTTGAGTTGGGCACTAGGCCCAAATGAGTTTTGTAACTCTTATTTACATTCATCAGTAAAAATGCTTGGCCAGATTTCGATCTAAAAAAAAAAAAAGAGGGTGTAATTGCCTATTTCAAAAGTTTTAGTTTTTCTTGTTTATATTTTTCTCATTTAATTTTTGCAATAGAATTTTGAATAGTATAAAACTCATTATGGTTAGATAATCGTATTTTTATTTACGTACCAAAAAATTCGTAAATCAACTCAAAATGGATCGAACTGGATGAATGTATGCCCAAATTCGATGTCCATCACTAAGTTTATATTAAATGTAGTGCCACCCGCAATTCTCAAATTCTGGATTAGCCTCTGCAAGTGGCACTTAAACTTGCATAAAATTGAACAAATAATGCATGTGTCCTATGTGGAGTCCCTACACATACATCATATTTGCTAATTTGACAAATTTGATTTTACCATTGCTGAATATAACAATGTCATTATCAACATAGCTTAAATTGTTACTCTGAGGCACCTTTGTTGTTTATGAAAAAGGAAACGAACTTCTCATTAGCTATAAGGTTGTACAAGGATCTGAAAAGAAATTCAACATTAATGTTAGCCAATAATTACAACATTAACACAAATGGATCTTAGAAATGGTTGATTTGTTTTCAAAAGAAAAATCAGAAAATTACATCCAATGACAGGAACCAGAGAGACTGACAATTTACAAATAACTAATACATTCTCAAAGCGGATAATACAAATAGATTATTGATTTGTTTCAAAAAGAAAATTACATCCAATGAGAGAGAGACTCACAAACAAACAACCCTACAAACAATTACATCCAATGGCAGGAACCAAAAAGATTCACAAACAAAGAAACAATTATAAATACTAATAGTTATGAATATGCAGATAGGGAATGTGAGCAATTTTGTGCCAGTCTTCTCCTATTCCCTTCTCACACCGCTTGGCCAGTGTTGGACATCTCCTAATTGTTAAAGTTGTGAGGGCTGTTAGGTGCTGCAATCCCTCCGGTAAACATTTTAGCATCTTACAGGATGTAACAAATAACTCGGTGAGTGAAGTTAAACCTTCCACCCCTTCCTCTGGGAGACTCTCTAGTGCGTTACAATGTACAATTTGCAGACTCTCCAAAGCATTGAGACAAGCCAGGCTGGTAGGCAGCTCTTTGAGATTCGTAAAGAAAGAGATTCTCAAGTATTTGAGATTTGCTAGGCTTTTGAACATCTCTTCTGGGAGTGAAGTAGCTTCATTGTTATGGCCTATGTTGAGGGAAGTAAGAGCACTAAGATTAGATGTGGACCTCAAACTTGAGGCATCTGTCAAATAAACTTTCAATGAAGGGAGGGTCGGAATAACAAACACAGGGCACCTGTAAATTTTCATCTCTTCAAGCACAGGGAATTGCTTTTCTCCTTCCTTTTTCAGCAATCCTTTTAGATTACTAAAGTCCAGTATAACAAGTTTCCTCAAGGATGGAAACCTCCCAGAATCAACATCAACATCAACATACTCCACACACCCATTCCACAACTGCAGACTTTCTAGACAAGACAGCTCACCAAAGGGTGGTAAGCATGAGCAGTTTGTGCAATCCTTAATTGTAATGGAGACAACATTTCTCAAAACTGAGTGATTCATCCACTCAGGGAAACGGAATCCTTTGAAGCCGCTGATTGTTAAAGAAGTCAGATTGGGGTGTGGTTTGAGGGCTTCAAGCACTTCAACTTCTTCTGATTCATACCTACGTGGTTCAAACCAATCCCAATTTATGATTAAAGATTGCAGATTCTCTTTTGCAGATAAATTGGCTTCTTTTGCATCCTTATCATTCTTCACTCTCTCAAGATGTCTGATTTCAATTGAGCCATACAGATTCAGGTTTCCTAGTTCCCCAAGTTGACCACCTTTCTTCCCTCCCACAACAAAGTGACTTAGAGTCTTAAGGCATGTCAAAGATCCTATCCTTGGTGGCATACAAGTCAATTTAGAGCAACTATCAAGTAAAAGATTTCGGAGACTACCAAGTTTACTTGTTTCTTTTGGCAAACAAGAAAGTGAGTTGCAATACCGTAGATCTAGAGTCTGCAGATTTTGAAGCTTGCATAACTGCTTTGGAAGACTACACATTTCTCTATTGAAAGAGAGGTCCAGGTATCTTAAATGTACTAGATCTCCAATGGAAGACGGTAACTGATTGAGTTCTATTCTACTCAGATTAAGCACCCTCAACGAGACAAAGTTCTCCACGAGCAAATGAGAGTAGGAAGACTCCACTTTAGCAAAACCAATGGACATCATATGTGAGTACTTATTTACATTTATTTCACGGATATTGCTGCTTGATGCTCTTGCCAAAAACAAAGATGTAGCCAAATCATGGATGAGATCATGCATCTTGAAATAAGTTTTACCATTTTTAACTTGAATCTCTTGGAAGAAAGACCTCAAGCATAATTTGTTCCATACTTCATTACCCACATCCTCTAACACCTTTCCGTTCGATAAAAGAAAACCGTGGGCCATCCAGAGAGATATTAGTTTCTCTATTTCCATTACTGTATCCTTTGGAAATACTGCACAATATGTAAAGCATTGTCTCAAATCAAGTGGAAGGTGATGGTAACTAAGCTTCAGGGCAGGCATAATAGAACTTTCATCTTGAGGCAAATTCCAAATTTCACTATCCCTTAAATGTTCCCATTCTCTTTCTTTTCTCTCGAAGCGCAAAAGACCTCCAAGAGTTTTGGCTGCTAGAGGCACACCACCACTTTTTTTCACAATCTCCTTTCCGATAGCCACAAGGTTAGGATTCATTTCTTCTTGCTGTCCAAATGCACGTTGCATAAACAACGAGCAACAATCTTCTTGAGACAGATTTGACAATTTATATGGTTGCAAAGTTCCCATAATTGATCCAACCCTTTCAAGACGAGTAGTGACCAGAACAGAAGCACCTCGTGCTCCAACCTTTAAGACTGCTTTTAAATTATCCCACTTATGTTGATCTTCATTCCAAACATCATCCAAAATGAGAAAGTATCTATTTCCATTCAACAAATCCTGTAGCTTCTTTTGAAGTGGAGCCAAGTCCATGTCACCAAGTAGTGACTTTCCTTCAATAGATTCGACAATTGCCTTAATCAACCTGTTCTCCTCAAAATCATCTGAGACACAAACCCAAATCTTTAGTTTGAAATGCTCAGTAACTCTCTGATCATTGAAGATCATTTGGGCAAGAGTCGTCTTTCCTAGTCCCCCCATACCAACTATTGGGAGGACTGAAAGCTCTTGGGCATTACTAACATTGTTTATCAGGATTTTCACTATCTCATCTTCCTCTTTGTCCCTTCCATAAACTTGTGGTTCAGTTAAAACAAAACCTGTTCCAACCAATGTCCACACGAGAAAATTGTTATACTCAAGCTCCATAGGAGTCAGCAAAAAGCAGAGATGATTTTTTTGTATTAGACTTTGGGACATATCCTATGAGTAAGCTATGGATTTATCTGAGCCCATATCTTTTGACTTACACCATGTGTGTGTGTGTGTATATATATATATATATATATATATATATGTTAAGAACAATAAATACAAATAATAGATTTTGAACTCAATAAATTAGATGGAAGTTGTAGAATTACGAGTCTTAATCTGGATCCACCTCTTGTTAGATTAGCGAAAATTTTTTGGACTCATGTTCTCAATATTTGCCAAATAATGAATATAAACTAATTCAATTGTTGTAATACTAATGTGTCTAAAAAAATATTTAAGATTAATACCTGTTTCTGGTCTAGCAGCTTGTCTCTCTATAATCTTTTCACGCAAATGAAAATCCGCTCTTTCCTTAGCAATTGCATCTAGTTTCTCCATCATCTCTTTCATCCTTTTCCCAATCTTGTAACGGAAAGCGATTGCCTTTGGATGATAAATCCCATATTTAGTCTGTTTGAGTCTTGCTGCCTCAGTTTTACATTCATCTAAGATGTCATCAGCTTCATATGCAGCAACATTGAGTTTCTGCAACCAATTTTCCAGTGGCTTGTCCTTCAGTTGCTTCTCCTGAGCATCTTCAAGCACATCTTGGATCGTAGTAAACGTGCTTTTAAGCTTTTCGAACTCATCCTTAAAACCAAGAATCAATCCAAGTTCCCCTTGGATGAAAGAAGTTAGATTGTCTAGCAGAACTTGAAGGAAAGCTTCAGCCATAAATCTTTTATTGTGGAAAAATCTTTCAACTGTCTACAGAAAGTTTTCAAAAAAAACACTAGTTTTTATCTTGTTAATCTCTCAACTCTCAAATAGTCCCAACTTATTCAATGGGTAAATATTGTAGTGGTACCAAAATTAATGTTTTGCTGCATAAAAATGTCCGCAATATACTTGTATGAAATTATTTTATTTTGAGTCTCACGCGTGACACGCTTTAAATACCTGTGTGAGGCCTTTTATTAATTGACTTGTGGAGCTTATGAACCCCACCTAAACAATCTTTTCTTCAATATAAATATACCTGAGTTTGCTCAAGAAGTTATAATCATTTTAGTAAAGTACTTGTTGAGATATGTATTATTAATGTCACGCCCCGAGCCTACACCCTGGGCGGGACCGGCTCCTGGAGACCATTGCTGGCCCCAGGCGAACCCTTGGCCTGGCTTTCTTAACTCAGCGGAAACCTACTCAACAGAATAACTCAACGTCATGCAAAGACATAAACAACTTAACTAATAAAAATATGGCCCAAAGGGCAACTCGAGTCTCAAAATAGAATATTTTCACATATATACATATACATGGATGAGAGACTCAAAACTAACTGACTGACTGACTGTCTGACTGTCTATTGAAGCCTCTAATATACTGAGATGGATGTGGGGACAGACCCCGCACATCCTAATAGAACAAAACTAAGTACACAAAATAATTGAGTCCTCCGGAATGCAAGGAGGCTCACCACTGACTCTGGAGTGCTCAGCTGGATCAACGACGTGCAGGATGCTGATCCGGGGTACCTGTATCTGCATCATAAGACGATGCAGGCCAACTGGCATCAGTACATGGAATGTACGAATATGTGAGCTGGAAAAGCTGAACCACAACTTAAGCTTGAAAGGAGAACAAGAGATCACTTACCTTGACTCTGAACGACTCATATACGTAATTGGACTCAAAGTAAAGCAATAAGACACGAGCCATACATATAAAGCTTGTAAAAGAATGTGAACAACTTAGATCGTTAAGGATAAAATGATAACAAACCCAACTTTTCTTTTATAAACATAATACAGCTTTTGTGGGAGGTTCTTTAACCGACAACCACCACTACGAGCCTTAGTGATGATACAACGTTTTACCTCACGTTGCCAAAGGACCATCCTATACCTTGCCATCGATATAGGACCTTACTTTTGCTTAGTGGATCCACTAGCCTAATCTTACGTGATCATCTAAAAAGAGGATACGTCAAGTCCCATGTTGGCGCATGGTTCTTATGGAGAGTCGAGTTAATATGAACTCGTGTCCCCAATTCGGTGCTCAATACTACTCCCAAAAATACTTTGGCTCATGCTTTTAAAATAACTTCTTTCTTTGATTGAGATGATTACTAAAAACTTAGCCCAAAGGCTCTTTTTGGAAAACATGGCTCCTTTCTTACTTAAATGTAAAGACATTTAGAACTTCTTTGGGAAGTACATAGTTCCCCTAATAACTTTGGAGAAATGGACTCGACTCTTTACTCCTTACTTTACTTAAACTCTTTACTTTTGACTTGACTTGAAACTCTTAACTCAACTTGAGACTTGAAACGACGTTAAGACGTTCAATAACGACTCTTGAAAAGCTTTAAAGACTTGCTTTGACTTGCTTAACTTCTAAGCTTGGTCCTAACTCCACTTGACTTCTAACTTCACTTGACTTGATCCTAACTTTCTTGAATTTAATTATGGATTCAAGGACTTGATTGGTATTTGGAAGGACCCCAGGGTGTTTAGGAATGATTTAGGAATGATTTGGGACAGCCAAACTAAAGAAAATCTTCGAACATAAATTCTGAAAACAGTGGAGTCCGCGTCCTGTCCGCGACGCGGAGAAGATTTTTGTTCACAGAGGGAACAAGTCCGCGACGCGGACGTGCTCCTCGCAAGCTGCCCGACTTTCTCCTTCACGTCTCCAACTCTAAATCCTCTAACCTCAAGGGTTCCAGCCCCAATCACTTAGAAACATAATATCCCTCAACATTCAATAGAACACCACTCAAAACACAATCCAATCATGTTCCACAACCCACAATAATTCCAACAACAACAACAAACAACTTTAACAACATAACCAAACCTTTCTTAATGAATAAAAGGGGTTAGGTGTGTGGGGGAAAGGATCACCCAACACTAAAAGCTCACATACCTTGGTAGGGATCACCCCCGACGAAAATCCACGATGATCTCCTTGCTTGATCTCCTCTTCTTCTCTTCTTCTCTTCTTCTTCTCTTCTTCTTCTCTCAAAACCCTCACTCTCACTTCTTTTAAAATGGTAAAACTGATCAAAATGATCAGCCTAACACATTTATAAAACCAAAATAAAAGGCTAGGGAAAAGACCAAAATGCCCTTAATGATTCCCGGACGGATTTCCTTGTCAACTGCCCAACTTTCAAAGGTCATAACTCGCTCATACAAACTCGGAATTGAGAAAACTCGGCGGCGTTGGAAAGATCGTTCCAAGGTCTATGCAACCATAACTGGAAATACTTCTAACTCATCATGAGCTAGAAGTTACGACTGATCAAAGTTGGCCAAAAACTCACCTTTTCCATACTTAGCCAAAAAATTTCCAGATTTTTAAATCCTTTCCAAAAATGAAAATTTCCAATTCTAAGCCTCTTCAACTATTTCACATTGCCGGATGTTACAATTAACTATCTGTTTAAATATAGTATTTATTATAGAATAATTATTTATTCAGTTTTAATAGATTATTTATTCATTTATGGTGTCTGTTTACTTATATAATAGATGATTTAATGTATAGAGTTTTAATTTATACACAAAAAATTAAATCACTGGTTCTTATAAGTATTAAAACATTTGTGATGATTATGAACACTTGCTTCCTATCTAGCATCTTGTTTCTCAAGGACCACTTGAATTGTAGAAAACGTACTTGAATATGCCTTTGAAACTCATTTTGAAAATTGAAATGCAATACAAGTTCTCCTTTGAGAAAAGAACTGAGATTGTCTAGCACAATTTGAAGGAAAGCTTCAGCCATATAATTTAGTTTTAAATAATATTTATGCTCTCCAATTTTGGATATATAGAAGAAAATACAAAAATTTATATAAAATTAAATAAGTAGACACGTGCACCCTATTTGACATAATACACGTTGTTTATGAATTATGTGTTGGTGCATTTGAGGGAAACTACTGCACATGGCCATGGGGTCATGTAAAGCTTTCATTGCTGCCCACCACAAAGACTTTTCTTTGTCAATGTCTTCCACAGAACCATAAGACACGCTTTCTGCAGTACTGCTAGGCTGCTAGCTCATTCCGTGTATTTTCTTTCCCTTATTGATTGCCCACAGCTGCCCACCACCTACATTTTTCTTGTGTGGTAGTTGAATATTCATTTCTTTTAGCGGTCGTTTGGTAGGCCACATTAAAATAAATAATTTATATATTATGTATGGTATTATTTAGTACTATGTTTGATAGGAATTTGGGACTATATATAACTAATATATGGATTAGTTATATCTCCTACATGGTATTATAGGGTGTATTACTAATACCTTTCATTTGGAGGTATTAGTAATACATTGGATATAATAGCATGAGATAAGTCTATGTAAAGACAAAAATATCTCTCAAATCATTTTAATTATTTTGTTTATTTTTTTGATTTTATGTTTTATATTTGTACTATTAAATTTATTTAAATAAATTAGCTTATAAATTATTTCGAGAAAGTTGTTTGTTACTACATAAATCCTACACAAATCAATACAATATATATATATATATATATATATATATATATATATATATATATATATCGTGTGGTTTCTAATTATTTGTTTTTGAACAATTTATAAAATTGCATACATATTAAAACTATAACTTGCAATTTTTATGTGTAAATGTAGATGATTTATTCAGTTTTACTATTGTTTACGTCTTTTCAAAAAACCGAGAAGTAATCCAAGTTCCCCTTGGATGAAATTCTGGATTAGCCTAATGCATTATTAAAAATAAACAAACTGATTACCATGACCCTACTTTCCAAAATAAGTAATCAAATCTTATAGTGAACTACTCCCAATTAATCCAAATAAAATAGTTCACTTTAAACATAAAAGCAAGTAACACATGACAAATTAATCCAAATAAAATAGTTCACTTTAAACATAAAAGTAAGTAAGTAACACATGACAAATTATTAGAAAAAATAGAAGCATGCCAACCCCGAATATGACTTGTTTTTTTTTAAAGGGGCCGAAGTTGTAAATAAGCAAGATAAACTAATATCATTCATATTATAAATATCATAAGAGTCTACAACCTCATCTAATGGGTTTATAAGCTATTCATACTAGAAACAAAAAATACAAGGTAAAATATGTTGCGAAAATATCGTGGGTTATTAACTACCACAGAATCACAAGCAAATATAATAGAAAAGAAAAAAAACACAAGAATTTAATGAGGTTAGGCTAGACTAATCCTCCAAGCAAAAGTAGAGAGAGTTTTTCACCATGAACGAAAAAAGAAGGGTACAATCCTTTAGAATCTCCAACTACATCCCCTATATATAGATCTCAAGTAGTTATATTCCTTTTCCAAATCAATTAGAACAAAGAGTGTTCTAAATCATCAGGGATTATGAATTTTCATGGAAAAAATCAAGACATAATTAAAAAAATGTAATAACAAACACATTTAAAGATTAAACAAAGAAGAAGATGCAAACTTGTTGAGTCCAATTGACCACGCAAGTGTACGCAATCGCACAAATAGTATAGAACTTTTAGTCCATATATCATACCCACAAAGACTTGTCAATCAACCATTTACGTAATTAAACTAATTAATGTGCTGCCCCAAGTGCCAAACTTCAAAAACACAAAACTCGACCAGGCTAGCGCACTACTTGGCTCGTTGCGTGCCCTATCAAGGACACTACGTGGCGTGCTGCATCAAGTCTTTTTTGAGTGAAAATTATTTCAAAGTCAAGTCCAAGAGGATTAGCCTTTGCAAGTGACACTTAAACTTGAATAAAATTGAACAAATAATACATGTGTCCTATGTGGAGTCCCTACACATGCATCATATTTGCTAATTAATTTGAAAATTTTGATTTTACGATTGCTGAATATAACAATGTCATTATCAGCATAGCTTAAATTGTTACTCTGAGGCACCGTAGTTGTTTATGAAAAAGGAAACGAACTTCTCATTAGCTATAAGGTTGTACAAGGATCTGTAAAGAAATTCAACATTAATGTTAGCCAATAATTACAACATTAACACAAATGGATCTTAGAAATGGTTGATTTGTTTTCAAAAGAAAAATCAGAAAATTACATCCAATGACAGGAATCAGAGAGACTGACAATTTACAAATAACTAATACATTCTCAAAGTGGATAATACAAATAGATTATTGATTTATTTCAAAAAGAAAATTACATCCAATGAGAGAGAGACTCACAAACAAACAACCCTACAAACAATTACATCCAATGGGAGGAACCAAAAAGATTCACAAACAAAGAAAGAATTATAAATACTAATAGTTACGAATATGCAGATACGGAATGTGAGCAATTTTGTGCCAGTCTTCTCCTATTCCCTTCTCACACCGCTTGAACACTATTGGACATTCAGTAATTGTTAAAGTTGTGAGGGCTGCTAGGTGTTGCAATCCCTCCGGTAAACATTTTAGCATCTTGCAGTAATGGAGAGATAACTGTGTGAGTGAAGTTAAACCTTTCACCCCTTCCTCGGGGAGACTCTCTAGTGTGTCACAATAATAAATATCCAGACGCTTCAAAGCATTGAGACTAGCCAGGCTGCTAGGCAGCTCTTTAAGATTGTAGAACGCAGAGATTTTCAAGTATTTGAGATTTGCAAGGCTTTTGAACATCTCTTCTGGGAGTGAAGTAGCTTCATAGTTACCGCTCATGTCGAGGTAAGTAAGAGCACTAAGATTAGATGTGGACCTCAAACTTGAGGCATCTGTCACATAAACTTTCAATGAAGGGAGGGTCGGAATAACAAACATAGGGCAATAGCGAATTGTCATCTCTTCAAGCACAAGGAATTGCTCTTCTCCTTCCTTTTTTAGCAATCCTTTTAGATTACTAAAGTTCACTATAACAAGTTTCCTCAAGGATGGAAACCTCCCAGAATCAACAACAACAACATCAACATACTCCACACACCCATATTGTAACTTTAGACTTTCTAGACAAGGCAGCTCACCAAAGGGTGGTAAGCATGAGCAGTTTTTGCAACTGCTGATTTCAATAGAGACAACATTTTTCAAAACTGAGTGATTCATCCAATATGGGAGACGGATTCCTTTGAAGCCATTGATTTTTAAAGAAGTCAGATTGGAGTGTGGTTTGAGGGCTTCAAGCACTTCAACTTCATCTGATTCATATCTACGTGGTTCAAGCCAATCCCAATTTATGATTAAAGATTGCAGATTCTCTTTTGCAGATAAATTGGCTTCTTTTGCATCCTTACCATTCTTCACTCTCTCAAGATGTCTGATTTCAATTGAGCCATACAGATCCAGGTTTCCTAGTTCCCCAAGTTGAAAACCTTTCTTCCATCCCACAACAAAGCGACTTAGAGTCTTAAGGCATGTCAAAGATCCTATCCTTGGTGGCATACAAGTCAATCCATAGCAACCATCAAGTAATAGATTTCGGAGACTAACAAGTTTACTTGTTTCTTTTGGCAAACAACAAAGTGAGATGCAATACTGTAGATCAAGAGTCTGCAGATTTTGAAGCTTGCATAACTGCTTTGGAAGACTACGAATGCTAGAATTGCCAGACAAGTCCAGGTATCTTAAATGTACTAGATCTCCAATGGAAGATGGTAACTGCAGCTTGAGATTTGAGTTATTCAGCTTAAGCACCCTCAACGAGACAAAGTTCTCCACGAGCAAATGAGAGTAGGAATACTCCACTTTAGCAAAACCAATGGACTTTATATGTGAGTATTTTTTTATATTTATTTCACGGATATTGCTGCTTGATGCTCTTGCTGAAAACAGAGATGTAGCCAAATCATGGATGAGATCATGCATCTTGAAATAAGTTTTACCATCTTTAACTTCAATCTCTTGGAAAAAAGACCTCAAATATAATTCATTCCATACTTCATTACCCACATCCTCTAGCTCCAAGTTTCCTTTCGATGAAAGAAAACCGTGTGCCATCCAAAGAGAGATTAGATTTTCCTTTTCCATTTTGGTGTCCTTTGGGAACACCGCACAATATGCAAAGCATTGTCTCAAATCAAGTGGAAGATGATGATAACTCAGTCTCAGGGCAGGCATAATAGAACTTTCATCTTGAGGCAAATTCCAAATCTCGCTATCTCTCACATGTTTCCAATCTCTTTCTTCTCTCTTGAAGCGCAAAATACCTCCGAGAGTCTTGGCTGCTAGAGGTACACCACCACATTTTTTTACAATCTCCTTTCCGATAGCCTCAAGGTTAGGATTTATTTCTTCTTGGTGTCCAAATGCACGTTGTATGAACAACAACCAACAATCTTCTTGAGACAGATATGACAATTCATATGGTTGCAATGTTCCCATAATTGATCCAACCTTTTCAAGACGAGTAGTGGTTAGAATAGAAGCACCAGTTGCTCCAACCTTCAAGACTGCTCTTAAATTATCCCACTTCTGTTGATCTTCATTCCAAACATCATCTAAGACAAGCAAGTATCTTTTTCCGTTCAGCAACTTCTGAAGCTTCTTTTGAAGTGGATCCAAGTCCATGTCACTGAGTGACGTTCCTTCAATAGATTCTACGATTGCCTTTATCAATCTCTTCTCATCAAAATCTTCTGAGACACAAATCCATATTTTGGGATGGAAATGGTCAGTTACTCTCGGATCATGGAAGACCATTTGGGCAAGAGTAGTCTTTCCTAGTCCCCCCAAACCAAGTATTGGGAGGACTGAAAGTTGTTGGGCATTGTTTATCAAGATTTTCACTATCTCATCTTCCTCTTTGCCCCTCCCATAAACTTGTTTTTCAGTTAATACAGAACCTGGTACAAGTAATGTTCACATGAGAATATTGTTACAAAATTCAAGCTCTGTAGCAAAAACCAGAGAAGATTTTTGCACAATAAAGAGATAAAGAGTAGCATTTTACCCTACATTAATTCCAAATATTATAAAATATTTAACTAATTAAATATTAAATAATAATCATATTACTATATTATTAATATTATGATAAATAATACAGGTGACAAGGTGTAAAATAAATAACTAAAAGATGAAAAAATCCATAAAAGTATGTGCATTTATTTGGTACATGAAAACATGTATCTAAATACTTAACTAAACCTTTTCCCCTTCTCTAAATTAATTTGAATAACTTAATTAATGTAGTAGTATTTAACTTTATGAAAATTTATGTGCATTTTGTATTATAAAGTTCATAAAAGTAATTATTACTTTCATGTATAGGAAAAACCAAAGAATTGTATTTGAAATCTTATTATTATGATGTAGTTATTTTTTGTTCACTATGAATAATAGGAAAAATTGTATGAAATAGCAAATTATTAATTCAAATTAAATGTTGTAACCATAGTTTATTTTATTTGTAATTCGCAGCAAACCTCCCATTTATTTGTCATCTGATTTGGTATACAATTAGTCATTTTCGGTATACAACTACTCATTCGGTATACAAATGTATAAAATGTATTTGTGTTTACATAAAGCGAGAGAAACGTGTATATACAAATACACATACATATATTTTCGTCCTATACACTTATAATTATACAAATACAAATTTTATTATACAAATTACAATGTATAAATGAATTTATACAAAACTAAATAATTTGTATAAAATTGGATGTATCTAGCAAATTATACAAATCAAAAACTCCATAGCAAATATTTAATTTGATATGGAGCGCAATTATGCAAACTATAGCTATAACATACAAATATGATTTTTATGTTTGTTGTATGTGAAAGTTGTTCATAATAATATGATAACACTATTTATTTAAATATCATTTGTCGTAATGTTTTACTCTCTTTTAATTACTTATTTATTATTTTTCTTCTTCTTTCTTTGTTTTAAATATTCACTATCATAGTTCATATCTAATTACCTATTCAATTGTTACTCTTAATATTCATAACTTTCAATTATTTAATTTAAAACTTTAAGATGTCTTTTGATATTTCTCTACTTTTATCAATACAAATCATCTTTTTTATTTATTTCATGAAAAGAATCTCTACCCAAGGTTTTCCACTTTATTGTACAGTTAAAGTAGCAAAGCGCTTGAATCATTATTAAGGCTTTTGAATTTTGATTGATTATAGAAGGTATCGTCAAGAACTCAAAAAATTATGTATTAATTATGTGTTTCTTTTACCATTATATTGTTATAATTAAAGTCGTAACACGGATATGAATGTTGTATTTGTTCTTATCTATCTTTTTTTGGCATAATACATAAATTTGTCTTTTAACTTGGCCTCATTTATCCAATTTTGGTGTATACAAGTAGACACTTAAACTTATATAAAGTTGAACAAGTAGACAGATGAGTCCTTTATGACATAATACACATAGGACACCGTGTAGAATGCAAATTGCCATGTAGGATGCCACATAGGACGTGTACGTCTATTTGTTTAACTTTATGCAAGTTTAAGTGTCAACATGTGCACACCCAAAGTTGAAATACCTAAATGTGAAATGACTTATATTTATGTATTATGCCTTTTTTTATATTCTCTATCTATTATACTTCTTTAATTTAATCTTCCATGAAATTCTAAATGTTGTAAGTCTCTATTTTTATTTGTGCTGAAATTAGTCATTCATGACTTGTATTCGTTTTTTAATGTACTTTTATAATATTTTTATACTGCCTTCGTCCCATTTTATGTGGCACTTTTCAGATTTCAAGATTCAAACAAGTCTATCTTTGACCGTGAATTTTTTATAGATCTTTTAAACATTTTGAATTATCAATTATTGTGACTTATAGTACTTTTTACGTAGTTTACAAATATATAAATTTCATTTCAAAAAAATTGAAGATCCCATGCGCAAATTTCCGGTCAAACTTAAACTGTTTAACTCTCGAAAAACGAAAAATGCCACATAAATTGAGACAGAGGGAGTCATACTTTTCTTATCGATGTGGTTTCTGTTAAGTAGCTACTTCTATGTGTAGTTATTGAGGATAAATCATATCGGTATATATATTGATGATATCTTTAGAGGCTATATATATTATCTTAATTTGTTTTCCATATTTCTTCCTTGATGGACAAGGGGCCATTTAATTATTATGAATTTTATTTAATGAATAAAATATAAATTGGTAAAATTAATATTGTTATAATAAACTCAACTTTATAATAATTGTATGGAACAAACGTGCAAGGCACCCAGAAACTAGTAATAAGGTCTAAAACAACTGAAGCTTTGTTTGTCATTTAGACTCGGGGGATATTCTATGAGTAAGCTATGGATTTATCTGAGCCCATATATATCAGCATGTATATATATGTTAAAAACTTCACTAAACACATACAGGTAATAGATTTTGAACCCAATAAACGAATCGGAATCAATCTGTTTAACGAACATTTAGATTAGAAAAAATATTTGAAACTTACCCTCAGCCCAAAAACATACATGAACTTGATAATTGTCAAAATATGAATATAAACTATGTTGTAATTGTAATACTAATTTGTCAGAGAATATTTAAGATACGCACCTGTTTGAGGTCTAGCAGCTTGTCTCTCTATAGGCCTTATTTCCAAATGAAACTTGATTCGATCCGCAGCAATTGCATCTAGTTTCTTCATAATGTTTTTCATCTTTTTCCCAATCTTGTAACGGAAAGCGGTAGCCTTTAGATGATAACTCCAATAGTTAGTCTGTTTGAGTCTTGCTGCCTCAGTTTTACATTCATCCAAGATGTTGTTGTGACGAAAAAATGAAAAACGAAAATCCAAAATAAAGAACACCAAGTTTAACGTGGAAAAATCCTTCAAAACGAAGGTAACCACCACGGGATCGACAAGATCCGAATTGCTTCACTATAACAATAAGAGAGTTACAATTATTCTTCTAATGGCTACACAACAAGTGCCAAAAGAGAACAAACAATAGCTATACCAACAAAAGATAAATAGAAAGAAACACCACCCAAACCCAGCTGCTGTTCGGGACCTAAAACAGGATCTTGCTGACTTCCGAATCTGATCTCCACCGTTCAAATCAACCACCAAGATGTCAGGAACACTCAGTACAAATTTCAGCCCGATCCAACGGTTAGTAAATCGGAAAACACGATCTGAAGGTTGCTGGTCGGAATATAGGACTGCAGCAAAAGAACCCTTTTTCTTCTCTCTTATCTCTTGTTGAAAGCTCTCTCAAAAAACCTCTCTTATGTCCTAATGTCTTTCAAAGACAATATTAATGAGCAATCTTAATTATTCTCTCAAGACCATCCTCTATTTATAGAGTTGTGCTTTTCCTTACAAAGCCAAAACCAACTCCAAATAGGATTACTATTCCAATCCTTTTCCTAATAGAATTGGAAACCAAATAAAGAGAATAATTCCAATCCTTTTTCAAGTAGGATTAGGCCATGGGCCTTTGGCTGGAACTTGGGCAATAGCCCAACAAACTCCCCCTCCAGCCAAGGGGCCAAATGGACTTCAAGTGGAGGAACTCTTGACAGGCTTCATGTCTGCCGCACTTCTACAAAACTCATGCTTGTCTACGATCACCACTTTTGTAAGCATATCTGAAGGATTGTCATCAGTGTGTATCTTCTCAACCTCAAATAATTTCTCCTCCAGGGCCATTCTAATCCAATGATATTTTCTGCTAATATGCTTGGACTTAGAATGAAAGGTGGAGTGCTTGGTGAGATAAATAGCACTTTGATTATCACAAAATAAGACAAACCTTGATTGTTCAAAATCAAGATCTTTGATAAACTCCTTCATCCAAAGCAATTCTTTGGCACCTTCAGTGATGGCAATATATTCAGCTTCTGTGGTAGATAGAGCTACACACTTCTGAAGTCTTGATTGCCAAGAAATAGCTCCCCCTCCAAAAGTGATCAAATAACCAGAAGTGGATTTTGAATTATCAAGATTTCCTCCCAAATCAGAGTCTGTGTAGCATACAAGTTCAGACTTGCCACTACCAAAGCACAACTCCATATCTGAAGTACCCTTCAAATATCTTAGTATCCATTTCACTGCAGCCTAATGTTCTTTTCCAGGATTGGAAAGAAATCTGCTAACGGTACCAACAGCATGTGCAATATCTGGTCTAGTGCAAATCATAGCATACATCAAACTACCAACTGCGGAAGAGTATGGAATACTTGACATCTCATTCTTCCCTTCATTAGTAGATGGACTTTGGGTCGTACTCAACTTAAAGTGTTTAGCAAGAGGTGTACTAACCACTTTTGCCTCTGTCATGTTGAACCTCTTGAGTACTTTCTCAATATACTCCTTTTGGGATAGTGATAACTCTTTCTTGTGTCTATCTCGATGAATTTGTATGCCTAAGATCTTCTTTGCTGGCCCCAAGTCCTTCATCGCAAATGATTTGCTTAACTCTTTCTTAAGGACTACAATTATAGATTTATTTTTGCCAACAATCAACATATCATCCACATAAAGTAGTAAGATAATAAAATAATCATCAGAGAACTTCTGAAAGAATACACAATGATCTGAAGAAGTTTTCTTATATCCCTGATTTTCAATGACAGATTCAAACTTCAAGTACCACTGCCTTGGAGCTTGTTTCAAGCCATACAAGCTCTTTCTCAATTTGCAAACATGGTTTTCTTTTCCTTTAACGATGAAGCCTTCAGGTTGCTCCATGTAGATCTCCTCTTCTAAATTACCATGAAGAAAGGCAGTCTTGACATCCATCTGCTCAACCTCTAAATCTAGACTTGCGGCTAAGGCTAGAACCATACGAATAGAGGACATTTTCATAACAGGAAAGAAAATTTCATCAAAGTCAATTCCCTTTCTTCGACCAAAACCTTTGACAACTAACCTAGCCTTGTATCTAGGTGCAGATGTATGTTGCTCTTGCTTTAATCTGAAGATCCATTTATTTGTTAAAGCTTTCTTACCTTTCGGTAACTCCACTAGCTCATATGTGCCATTCTCGTGAAGTGACTTCATCTCATCTTCCATGGCTTCTACCCACCTATCTCTATGAGTATCTAGCATGACTTCATCATAACCTTCAGGTTCTCCCATGTCAGTCAAAAGGATATACTCATTAGGAGAATAACGTGTTGAGCTTCGCTTCTCTCTAGTGGATCTTCTACAAGAGATTTCTGGAGCATCCAAATTTGTCATCTCAGCATTAGTTGGTTGATGATCAACCACAACATCACCAATAGAAACATCTATAGGTTCTACACCCTGATCATTATCTTGGGTTCCTTCATGTGTAAAAGATATATCAATAATAGGAACTGGATCAACATCAACTAAGCTCTCATTAATCTGAGAATCTGGTTTCTCAACCTTGTCAATATCTTCAATAGTTTGATCTTCAAAGAACATAGCATCACGACTTCTAATGAGCTTCTTATCAATTGGATCATAAAAGCGATATCCAAACTCATCTTGACCATAACCAATGAAGATGCACTGCTTAGTTTTAACATCCAATTTCGACCTCTCATCTTTTGGAACATGCACACAAGCTTTACAACCAAACACTTTCAAGTGATTATAAGAAACATCCTTACCAAACCAAACTCTATTTGGAACATCACCATCCAAAGCAACAGCAGGAGACAAATTGATAACATAAGCAACAGTGTTAAGTGCTTCAGCCCAAAATGAATTTGGAAGTTTAGCCTCTGAAAGCATGCATCTAACTCTCTCAACTAAAGTTCTATTCATCCTTTCTGCCAGGCCATTTAATTGAGGAGTCTTTGGAGGAGTCTTCTGATGACGAATTCCTTGCGATTTGCAGTAGTTATCAAAGGGACCAATATACTCACCACCATTATCAGTGCGAATACATTTTAATTTCTTTCCCGTTTGTCTCTCAGATAAGGCTTGAAACTCCTTAAACACATCAAGTACTTGATCTTTGGATTTTAAAGGATATACCCAAATCTTGCGAGAATGATCATCAATGAAAGTTGCAAAGTAAAGCGCACCACTTTTTGACTTCACTTTAAAAGGACCACACAAATCAGAGTGTACTAGCTCCAGTAGCTCAGACTTTCTTGAAGGAGGATGACTATGAAAAGAAACTCTTTTCTGTTTCCCATCTAAGCAATGAACACATTTTTTTACCTTTGCTTGTTTCACACCAGCAAGCAAATTCTTCTTAGCCAAACATGTGATCCCCCTCTCGCTCATATGACTAAGCCTCTTGTGCCACAATTCTGATAAAGTCTCGCTTTCCACCAAATTTATAGAGTCTCCAAGAATCGATCCTTGTGTCACGTATAAATTTGAATGCTTTCTTCCTCGAGCTACAATCAATGAGCCTTTGGTGAGCTTCCATTGGCCATTGAACAAGTCATTATAATAGCCATCATCATCTAGTTGTCCTACAGAGATCAAATTCAAGGGAATGTCTGGAGCATGCTTGACATTCTGAAGGACTAACGTTGAACCAGTATTGGTTTTCAAACAAACAGTGCCAACTCCAAACACCTTAACCTCACCAGCATTACCCATCTTTAACACCTCAGAGTTAACACAAGTATAAGATGAAAAGAAGTCTTTTCTCGGTGTGACATGTGATGTAGCTCCAGAATCTACTATCCAACTTGTATCTTGAGATACAAAATTGATGACGTCTTTATCACAAGCAAAAAGAAGGTCATCTCGAACAACAGCAACAACATTGTTTCCATTATTTTCTTCCTTCTTCCCTTCTTTAAGATCTTGCTTCAATTGTTTGCAAAATCTTCTAATATGTCCTTTCTTTCCACAATGATGGCATATAATATTTGGATTCCTGAATCTTGACTTGCTTCTACTTTTACCTCTACTCTTCGAATCTCTTGTCTTATCTCTCCCTCGATCTTCTGTGTACAAAACATCTGAATGTGAGGATGTGCCTTGAGATTTTCTTCTAACTTCTTCATTTAACACACCACTTTTTGCATATTCCATAGTCACCTTACCACCAGGAGCAGAATTTGTTAAAGAGACACGAAGAGTTTCCCAAGAATCCGGTAGAGTATTAAGAAGCCAAAGTCCTTGTATTTCATCATCAAAATTAACACCCATTCCTGATAGCTGATCAAGAACACCTTGAAAATCATTTATGTGATCAAGAATAGTACTGCCCTCCTTGTATTTAAAGGTCATCAATTGCTTTAGCAAGAACAACTTGTTATTGCCAGTTTTTGAAGCGTAAAGCGTCTCCAACTTTTCCCACAATGTTCTAGCATGTGTCTCACTCACAATATGGTTGCGAACATTATCTTCAACCCATTGTCTTATATATCCACATACCTGTTGGTGCTCGAAATCCCAATTTTCATCGGTCACAGTCTCAGGTTTATGAGCAGCAAAAACGGGAAGATGCATCTTTTTCACGAACAGTAGATCTTTCAACTTGCTTTTCCATATGTTGTAGTTTCTTCCGTTTAGACATACCATCTTGCTCATATTCCCCTCCATATAGAGAACCTCGCTCTGATACCACTTGTTGTGACGAAAAAAATGAAAAACGAAAATCCAAAATAAAGAACACCAAGTTTAACGTGGAAAAATCCTTCAAAACGAAGGTAACCACCACGGGATCGACAAGATCCGAATTGCTTCACTATAACAATAAGAGAGTTACAATTATTCTTCTAATGGCTACACAACAAGTGTCAAAAGAGAACAAACAATAGCTATACCAACAAAAGATAAATAGAAAGAAACACCACCCAAACCCAGCTGCTGTTCGGGACCTAAAACAGGATCTTGCTGACTTCCGAATCTGATCTCCACCGTTCAAATCAACCACCAAGATGTCAGGAACACTCAGTACAAATTTCAGCCCGATCCAACGGTTAGTTAATCGGAAAACACAATCTGAAGGTTGCTGGTCGGAATATAGGACTGCAGCAAAAGAACCCTTTTTCTTCTCTCTTATCTCTTGTTGAAAGCTCTCTCAAAAAACCTCTCTTATGTCCTAATGTCTTTCAAAGACAATATTAATGAGCAATCTTAATTATTCTCTCAAGACCATCCTCTATTTATAGAGTTGTGCTTTTCCTTACAAAGCCAAAACCAACTCCAAATAGGATTACTATTCCAATCCTTTTCCTAATAGAATTGGAAACCAAATAAAGAGAATAATTCCAATCCTTTTTCAAGTAGGATTAGGCCATGGGCCTTTGGCTGGAACTTGGGCAATAGCCCAACAGATGTCATCAGCTTCATATGCAGCAACATTGAGATTCTGCAGCCAGTTTTCAATTGGTTTGTCCTTCAGTTGCTTCTCCTGTGCATCTTCAAGCACAGCTTGGATCGTCGTAAACGTTCTTTGAAGCGTTTCGAATTCGTCCTTAAAACCAAGAATCAATCCAACTTCCCCTTGGATGAAAGAAGTCAGACTCTTTAACAGAATTTGAAGGAGAGGTCCAGCCATATCTTCAATTCACTATTAGATATTTGGAAGTACTGTTAGTTAGCAATGAATATGTTACAAACTCAATTGTTAAATGGAAACTGCAAACTGCACCTGCCTATGGGGCCATGTCTCTCAATTATTCAATGGTAACCACCAAATACCAAACCAATTTGGTGGGCAATAACTAGTAATTAATGAGTACTCCCTCTGCTCCATATTAAAGTGAATTGCTGACTCTTTCATAGTCCCTCCGTCAAATGATAAGAACTTTGACTAATATTTTACGAAGTAGGTAAGAAATTCCAATTTAACTTTGAAAATTAGTTAAATTGACTTTCAAAAAGCACAATATAACAACTAAAAATGGATGGATGGAGTAGTACAGAATAAGTAAATTGTTCAAATTTCAAGAAAATAATTGAAACTTTTTTTCATATTTACACTATCATTTAATGAGGTTCTTAACTACTTTACATTTTTTAGTAGAATAGTTTGAGAATAATCAAAAGGGCAATAGTGAAAAGTAGTTTTTAATTTATGTCTTTATATATTTTTCTTAAGATGTGTATCAAAACTCAACAATTCACTTAATATGGATTAGAGAGAATAAAAGTTTGTTTGACATTGTTGTTGGGAGGCCAAAAATATTTATTTTGAAACAAAAGTATTTTTTTAGAAATATTAAAGTGTTTGGCTAATCAGTAAAATTGTTAATTGGAAGCCGTTTTTCTATTGTTGGTAAAAACTTATAAAAAATTGCTTCTTAAAAATAGCTTTATTTGACGGAGAAATAAATAAGTTATGAAATTAGTTTCTATATTATGACATAGAAGTTAAGTTATCATTAATTGTCACTCCTACAATCTTGTAATTGTCTAAAAAAATATCTTGTAAAATACTACTTTTGTCTAAAGAATATTTATGATGATTGATGAGCACTTGCTTCCTATCTAGCATCTTGTTTCTCAAGGACCACTTGGATTGTAGAGAACATACTTGAAAGCCTTTGAAACTCATTTTTAAAATTGAAATGCAATACAAGTTCTCCTTTGAGAAAAGAAGTGAGATTGTCTAGCACAGAGGTGGACCCACATGCATCCATGAGGGTGCACGTACACCTGGTAATTTTTAAAAAAATTCTGTATAATTGATAAAACGATAAAATATTTTATTGCCCTAATAACTAAAAGTTGCTTTGGTGCACTGGTCGAAGTTGCCATCTTGAACCGCGATTGTGCGAGATCGATTCTCATGAAAGGTAAATGTTTTTACTTTAAAATTAGGTTAGGTTTTTCTTTAGAGTAAACCTTTTTAAAAATTGCTTTTATTAAAATCATTTTTGCCACATCATCTGGCCCCACCCCATTTCTTAACCACATTTTTTGCCATCTCATATGACCCCATCCATTCCTTTCTTAATTGAAATTAAAAACAAATAAAAGCCCTAGCACAATTCTAAATAAAATATAAGACTGCTAGAAAATCTACAATTTATAACTTACAAGTATTCTTCACTACATAATTGAAGTCCTACTCCTATTATCTCTGCATAAATTGGTAAGTTCTTCTTTTTAAGAGTATTTTTTTTTTTTTAAGAATTTGTTGTTGATTCTTGTGATTTGAAATTGATAGATTTTTGACGAAACATAATTCTTCTCAACCAAGTGCTAGTTTTAAAGACAATTCTTCGCGTTTTATATATGAGTTTGATTTGCAGTCACTTAAACCGGATACAAGAGAAAAAATATCCATTGAGGCCTAAGCAGATGCTTTGATCACCTTACCCTTGTGCCACTACTAACCCTACCCTTGAGTCACTCTTAGTAGTGCCCTGCTATCTTTAAATCCTTGGTTCACCTCTGGACTCTAGCACAACTTGAAGAAAGCTTCTGCCATATAATTTAGTTTTAGATAATATCTATGTCCTTCAATTTTGGATGTATAGAAGAAAACACTTAAATTTATATAAAATTAAACAAGTAGACACGTGCGTCCTATGTGACATAATACATGTTTATGTATTTTATGTGTGGGTGCATTTGAGGGAAACTACTGCACAGGGCCATGGGGTCATGTCTTTCATTGCTGCCCACCACAAAGACTTTTCTTTGTCAAAGTCTTCCACAAAACCATAAGACACAGCTTTCTGTAGTACTGCTAGCTCACAGCTGTGTTTTCTTTCCCTTATTGATTGCCAACAGCTGCCCACCACCTACATTTTTCTTGTGTGGTAGTTGAATATTATTTCTTTTAGTACTTACAACAGGCTAAAATACAAATCCATATGTGAAGTTGTTATCAATTAATCCCATAAATAAAATTGTTAACTGATATATATCTTATTCTTTTGGTTAACGATTTAGTACATTTAACATTCGATAACTAATAAATCGAACCATTAATTGTGAATATCCAACTGACCACTCAATAAACACTCTACCTAAACTACTAGTGTTTTGTTGCATAAAAGTAACAAACCTAAAGTTGTAACTATAATATACTTATACAAAAAGTTTTATTCTGAGTTTCAAATGTCATAAAATACTTGTGTGAGGCCATTTATAAGATTGACATGTGAAGTTTATAGCCCCATTTGTACAACTTTTTTTGGAAAAATAGCATAGCATATCAATCTATAGTGTAAATTGGCAATAAATAACCACTTTTTATTATTATTTTGGCAAAAAAATGTATTTTTATAATTATTTTGTCATTTAATAGCCAAGTTTTGTATTCATTGAAACGTCAAATTATTTTTTCCTTTTTTCTCTCTGTTTTTCCAAGACCCGTAAATGTTTTGTTTGATTTAAAATTTTATGAAATACTCTTATAACTCTTGTCTTTGAGGCGATACTTAACCCAAACCTTCAAAGAACACGTGTCTTGATTAATGAGATGCTCTATAACACTTATTTTAGATGCAATAGTTTCAAAACAATAAGTTACGCCTCGTGGGAAAGACTTGACACTACCAAATTGTGTCTTGATTTATAAGATATTCTATAACTCTTGCCTTAGAGGTAATATTTAGTCCAAAGGCTTGCAAAGAACAAGTTTACATTTCATGGTAAGAGTTACCACTACCTTATTGTGTTTTGATTTATGAAATGCTCTATATCTCTTTTCTCTAAGGCAAGAGCTAGACCAAAAACTTCAAAACAACAAGTTACACATCACGAGCAAGATTTGACAGCTTAAATTTGTTATTAATTTATTCATGTACAAATAATCAATTAGCAAACACAAGTAATTTGAAGATTGATAAATACAAGCTACTCCTAACTCGCTTATCAATGTTTCTCATGGCGTTTGGAGAGGAGACATATAGTGCATTTGCATTGCTAGCCAAAGCGATCCTAAGTTTTGTTTATATGTTGTAAAGATCATAAATTGCAATGTGTAAATGTATTATCAAATTCTCGAGATTTTCTTACGCCAAATGACATTTGTGTTGTTATAAAAATCAAGTGAAAAAGCTAAGGCTTGCGTTGGGAATCTGACTAGTGATTCAGTCAAACTTGATTGCGATGTCCTCAATTTGGTGTACACATAATTTTGTTAAACATCTAAAACATGCGGTTGATACGCCTGACAGGTGGTGTTAACAGGTGCCAGTCACGTCTGGGGGTATTTTGGAATGTGACATTTTCTTGCATTCATCATGTCATATTTTAAATCCTCCTGGATGTCAAAGCCATGCCAAGTCTGCTGATTGTTTTTCTATCTTGTAAATCTGCAGGGAAGAAGTGCAGACTCCCTATCCCTATATTTTGGCGAGGATTTAGCTCGATGCCCCTTTGAACAAGGTTAGAGATACATATGTTATAATATCTCTTGCTGTATTATCACTTATCAGTCATCTGGTAAGATCTTTGCAAAAGAAAAAGGCATAATACATTAACATGCCCTTTAACTTGGCTTCAAATCACATTTATGCCCTTCAACTTTGGATGTGCACAAGCAGACACTTAAACTTGTATAAAGTTGAAAAAATAGACACACATGTCCTACATGGCATCCTACATGTCATTTTTTGTCCTACATGGTGTCCTACGTGTATTGTGCCACGTAGGACTCAGGGGCGGCTCAATGTAATTGGAGGCCTAAAACGAATTTTAAATTTGAGGCCTAAAATATAAACAAATTTATATACATATTTATTCAAAATTTATTTTTCTTACACTATTTAGATGAAAATTATTAGTATTTAATATTGTTTTTCAGTTATTGATTTTAGGTAAGATTTTATTAACTCAACATTGAAAACATCCTTTTAGTGAGACAATTATTATATGAATTGTTAACATAATTTTATAAGTGATAAGTTGACAAATTTTAAATAAAGATAAGAGTTAGAAGCATAGAATTTGATTCAAGTAGTTGATGACTTGGTATACACCATTTTAATATGTTTGTTGTAATGCTTGAAACTATAATTTAAAAAGAAATATAAAAGAATTTGTAATTCACTTTGTTCAACACTTTTCACTATTAATTCTTATTTTTAATAAAGTATAAAAAACATTAAAGTGGGTAAAATAATATATTTTTTATCATAATTAATCAATTTTTTCTATAAAAATTTAACACATAATTTATTCTTGATAAAAATTTGGGGGCCTAAGGCATATGCCTTATTTTACAAAAAAGACATACGGCTGACCTAGGGTTTTAAGCCAGCAGCTGCGCAGCTCTCATGGCTGCTACGACCACTGGACGGCCTCCTTTCGAGGCTGTCCAGCCCGCCCCACCACCCCAAACCACCACATACGCCACTCTTTTCAATTCCAATACTATAAATCCTAAACAATCTGCCCTAATTAACTCAAAAACAATCGCAAAACCAATCGAAATAATTCATGGAGAACCTACTATCACGTTTTCAATGGAGGAAAGGCAAGACTTTATGATTGAAGAGGGATTGCATCAAGCAGTGGTGTTTAAATTATCCCATGGTGCGCCATATTTGAAGGTATTAAGGTCAATTTTACCGAAACATCTTGGTACCAAGGGCAACT